TTCAGATGATCTACAATATAAACATGGAAATGAAACGTCATCACTTTGATTACAGTAGATTATATTAAAACCTCACAAAGTTCATCGGTATTTAAATTAAAGGTCAAAGACAGTAAACATGTTTGACCACTGGGGGGAGCTGTTGATTTATTTATATCTGTTTCTGCTTTTACAGAGTTAGAATAGACTAGATTAGACTAGATTAGATTAGATTAGATTAGATTAGATTAGATTAGATTAGATTAGAAGCTTTATTGCCCCTCAGGGGGTAAATCAGGTGAAGCAGCAATAACTGGACAAGGGAAACAAATTCCATTAAAAATATGTATAAAAGCAGAGAGAATACTGACTATACAGTGAGGACAGAGTTACAGTCTAAGATTAAAATATTTTAGTTTCCAATATAAATATGATAATCATTGATTTTGATCCTGATCAGAAATCCTCCTGCTTCAGTTTGAACAGCAGGAAACAATACATGATAACTTTATTCTTCTGTTCATGTGTTTATTGTACCATCGCAACATTCACCAGCATCTCCGTCTACCTGCATGTAGCTCCGCCCCCTCCTACAGGTGAGTGTCGGTTTCTGATGATGATCTGCAGTCGGATCAGACTAACACCTGGTTCTGTTCTGCAGGGAACCAAGATGGCAGCAGAAACACTGGATCCAGAAATCGACACGTTGGACTGATAGCTGCAGTTACTTTAGTCGTTGTTCTGATTATTGCTGCCTCGGTTCTGGTTCTGACCCGCAGGGAACCAAACAGCTGAGGAACCAAACAGCTGAGGAACCAAACAGCCGAGGAACCAAACAGCCGAGGAACCAAACAGCTGAGGAACCAAACAGCTGAGGAACCAAACAGCCGAGGAACCAAACAGCTGGACTGGTTCCTGCTCTCTGTCTGGCTTTGGCTGATCCAATAATCTGAGCAGAGAAAGTTCTGACTCTCATTGAATCGTAGTGTTTCTGTTTTCCTTGGTTCCATCGGTTCTGCTCAGATCGACACCATGTTCTGTCAGAACCACCAGATGAACTGAAGCTCATTGTGTGGCTGCAGAACCGCAGCAGAACCAGGCAGTTTTCTCCTCCTGACGTCTCAGTGATCAGGAACTAAACAGGTCCAGAGGAGAACTGGGTCGGTCCGACTTCGTTTCCTCATCAGAACAAAGTGTTGAACGGAGACGAGGTTCTGTGAACAACAACGGAGCTTTAAATTTGGACTTTCTGAGTTTTTCTTGTTAATCTGTTAAAAATCCAGTTTCACCTGTCAAAATGTAGAAGCTTTATTAGCAACATTAACATTAACGATCATCAGTGATGATCCGCTCCTCTCTTCGCTACAGCAATAATCAGAGGATCATGAAACATTTCTGGATGAATCTGGTCTGTTATTGTCTTTATGACATATCCTCTGTCAGTTCAGAAACAGGTCAAAGCTCCAAACGTTGGCATCTAAAGATCATTTCAAATGCTTTTATTGCTTCTCATCTTAATAATCATAACAGCCTCTTTATGTACTTTATAATCTGAAGACACTTTACTCCATCTGTCTGGACTCTGGTCATTGTTTGAAGCAGCAGCTAAAGAGCTTTATGTGTCCTGCTTTATTCTGCTTTATGTTTTATTTGTCATGTTTTATGGTTGTTTTCATCCTGTAAAATATGCTCAATAAATAGTTTCAACATTATGTCAGGTTCCAACTGAGAGATCAGAAAACACAGTGAGGCTGCAGACCAAACATTTCACTCTGCAGATGATATAAAACTGCATTAATATTTCACTGCATGTTATTTTAGAAAAGCTTTTCTCCTGTCTGGTTGTTTAATGTGAATAAATGTTGAATGTTTTCATGTTTCCATTAAAACTCTTAATATTCTCTGGATGCAGTCAGTGGATGATAATTGTTCTCACTTTATGATTTAACTGAATAAAACTAGAAATGATTTTAGCAGAAACTTTATCTGGAGATGTTTTAAATCTAACTCCTGTTTCAAAATAAGAGCATGCAGTTCAGCCTTGTTCCTCCCTAACATGATTTTATGAATTATTATATTTGATGTTGGTTGTGTTAGTGGCAGAGATCAGAATCATCATCATGTTCAGGAAGATCTAAAGTCTCTGATAAACAGCAGGACATGCAGAATAAACAGCAAAGCTAAAGACACTAGCATAGCGCTAACTGTGTGCTATGCTAGCAGCAGCTTCCCACAACTAAAAGATGAATGGAGACGATTATCTCCATAGATCAGGAGAAGACACTGGGAATATGCTCAGAATACGTTTTATGAAAGTATTTTACTGACTTGCTCTTGTTCGGGTTTGTGACGACGTTGACCTCCAGCGTCTGGTCATGTGACCTTTCACCCTGGATTTGTGAAACTTATGTTGCTCAGAGTAAACACAGTTTTTTTTATTTTAATAACTAAACTAAACTTATCGTTTAACATCATCTGTTAGTTTGTCAGAAAGCAGAGGAACCTATTGATCTATTGATGACATCAAACTGATCACTAAGCGATGATTTTCTTGTAGTTGAACATTAATGCATGAACTCATCTCTAATCTGATGTTTGCTCACAATAAGACAAACATTGAAGACAGTTTTAAAAACTGTGCAAAGCTGACATGTTGGTGATCAGAGGAAACCTCCTGATGGGAATCAGACAAGCTGCACTGATGACTGGATCTCTGCAGCGTTTAGATCCTCCGCTGGTCCAACACACCCGGATCCATCGGCCCAAATGAGCTCAGGCTGCAGCCAGCTTCTGCTCATCTTCACTTCCTGTAGTCATCTACAACCGGCTTACACTGGGAAGATCACTTTGTGATTTAGATGCTGTTCATATGGAGAATGTAGCCTAGCTTTACTTTTCTGTTATGGTTGGATGAATGAATTCATTTTCAGGCTCTTGGCTGATTCTGTCAGTAGGTTTGTTGTGTTTGGATCATTTTCTGGGTTTAAATGGAATCTGAGCCAAACCAGAGAATATGACATGATCATAATCATGAGCAGTCAGTTCAAACACGGCAGGGAACTGACTGCAAATGATGTCATCATTATTAAGTCATGATGACGACATTATGGCTTAATAAACTCATAGAATATGTCGCATCAGCACTAAAAGCTGAGCTGCAATGATCCACTTCCTTCCTCCTTTAACTTCTTACCTTAGAAATAAAGTTAACTTAAAATGAATCTGAACCTTGAAACAAACATGAGGCTGAAGGCTGGTGGTTGACTTTTAAACGTTTAGATTGAATTAATTTAATGAATTAAACGGCTGAGTTCAGATCAGTGAGTCCTGGGTGGGATCCTCCAGTAAAGCGTTTCTCCGTTTTCTCCGTTTTCTGTTTTCTCTGTTTTCTCTGATTTCTCTGTTTTCTGTTTTCTCTGTTTTCTCGGTTTTCTCGGTGGCTGCAGCTCGTCGTGTTCATGTGGTGAATCATTAATGAAGCCCAGACTTCTTCCATACAGAACTCAATAAAAATGGAGGAATGTCCAGGAACTCAGTGTTTCAGCATTTTTGCAGTTTTCTGAAAGTTTTCTCCAGAATATATTTAACAGTAAATAATACTTTTTGTCCTTTAAATGTAAGAAATAAATGGCAAAACAAATATCTCAACAGGCCTTTTCTTGAAAGCCAGACATCAGACGCCCTGAGATGGAAAACAAGCTGTGAGGTTTGATCTTTATCATGAATCCTGGTGAAGTTCCTCCAAACTGAAACCAGTTTCTATTTACTGGAAATCAGCAGAAACTGGATGTTAACCCTCAGTGGAAAATCCCCACGAGTCAGCTCTAGAAATATCTCTAGAGTTATCTGTAGAGTTAGATCTAGAGATAACTCTAGAGTTAGATCTAGAGATAGATCTAGAGCTATATGAGTCGTCTGCATACTGAAAACAGCAGGCAGGTACAGCAGAGTCTTCACTGCTGCTGCTGCGGTTTGTGAACAGGAGCCTGAAGTCCCTCCAGCTCCAGAGAAAACAGCTCGACCCATTTACTGTAATCCAGCAGGAGGTCGATGTTCAACCTGAGCGGAAACCCCCAGTGACTCAGAGCCTTCAGTTCATAAAGAAAAGTTTATTTGATTTCTAAAACAGTTTCTGACAGAAAAAAAATAAAGCCTCTCAATATTACATCTCAATACAGAAATATAACATTTTACACTGAACATCACTTCTTCACTGAATTCATGACTCAACTCTGCCCCCTGCTGGCGGTGGATGGTACAGAATCCTCTGATTACTGACTGAACTGGTTCAGGTTGAAAAGCTCCCAGTTCACCTTCAGATAAATAATGCAGCAGATTTCTGACTTTATTATAGAATCTGTTTTTATGTTCCAGATTTATTCACTGGAGGAAAATATAATCATATTGAAATAGATTTTACACAGATGTGTGGGATAAAGTTTCAGTTTTTAGATAAGTAACTGATAAATATTAAAACTCTGCCCCCTGGTGGAGGAAAGTGGAATCTGTCTCTGTTTTATGATATAAACATACAAATTATATGTCAGAAAACTAGTTTATAAAGTTCAGATTATATATTTATTATGTTTATTCTGCTTTAATAAACGTCCCACAGAAGATAATTTAGTTTATAAGAAGCTTAAAACAATAAAAACACCAAAATAAATCTGGAAATATTATTTCTGGAAAAGAAAAAAACTTTTATTAAAAAACACAACATTTAAAAATACTGACAGGTTTTATGAAGCGATGCAATTTTTACATTAAAATATTGATAAAACTCTGAATAAATGTCACATTGTAAGAAACCAGATCATAAACCAACATGAAGACAGTCCAGTCCAGTTAGCTGGGAGACGGACCAGTTAAACTGGACCCGGTACGGTGGACGGACCGGGTCCAGTGGACGGACCGGGTCCAGTGGACGGTCCGGTGGACAGACCGGGTCCAGTGGACGGTCCGGTGGACAGACCGGGTCCAGTGGACGGACCGGGTCCAGTGGACCATGGACCCGGTCCAGTGTACTGACCCGGTCCGGTGGACGGACCTCACTGGTGGATCAGGAGAGAAGAGTAGCTGATCTCTGGCTGCGGATCTGGAAACAGAAATCATCTGTATTAATAATAATGATGCTGATGTTTGATCTCTACTGGAAAACCTGCAGGAACTGAAGCTGCTGCAACTTTTAACATTCAAACTGGGAGATTTTAGGATTATTAATCTGAGAAAATCTGACAGATTATCTGAGATTAGATTAGATTTTACTGAATGACTGAAATGAAAGTAGGCTGCACAGTGGAGCAGTGGGTAGCGCTGTTGCCTTGCAGCAAGAAGGTCCTGGGTTCGATTCCCGGCCCGGGGTCTTTCTGCACAGCATGCTGGGTTCTCTCCGGGTTCTCCGGGTTCCTCCCACAGTCCAAAAACATGACTGTCAGGTTGATTGGCCTTCCCAGATTCTCCTTAGGTGTGAGTGTGTACATGGTTGTTTGTCCTGTTTGTCTCTCTGTGTTGCCCTGCGACAGACTGGCGACCCATCCAGGTGACCTGTCCAGGTGACCTGTCCAGGTGACCCCGCCTCTCGCCTGGAATGCAGCTGGAGAGGAACCAGCAACTCCCGACCCGTTAGGGAGAAGGATGATGAGAAAATGGATGAAAATGAAAGTTGTCAAATGATGTGTGTGCGTGTGTGTGTGTGTGTGTGTGTGTGTATCAGTGTGTGTGTGTGTGTGTGTGTGTGTATCAGTGTGTGTGTGTTTCTACCTTCAGTCCTGTTGACTCTCTCTGCGTTTCCTTTTCTAACATATGAATAAACAGCAGACGATTCGTTCTCTGTAATGAGATTAACTCAGATTAGTGGTGCAGATTACAGAGGAACATCAGACAGTAAATCTGCTCAGTATCAGTGTTTATGCTGTTGTTTGCTGGAGTCAGGAAATGATCCATCTTCTGCTCCTTCATATTCAAATCCTCAGGATTGAATCAGCTGTTCTGGTAAACACCCCGTTGCCATGGTTACAGATCACAACAGTCAGAAAGTAAAGGAGAAAAATGATGAACAGCATCAGAACCAGAGAGGAAAACTGTTTAAACTTTAAAGATTCAACCTGAAGAATGTAAAGTCTATAAGGAGCCAGCAGAGCTGCTTCCTGTCTATTAATATTTATTATAAACATGATGAAGCTCCATGTTTGATCTGATCTTCACTCAGAGACAATTAAAGGTTTTAACAGGAAGTTTCTCTCTATTGTCGGCAGAAACCAGTAAAACTTTTTATCAGATGATTATGTGGAGCAGAAGAAAAAAACCACAAAGATCAACTTCTGGTAAAGACAGAAACAGTGATGTCACTGTGACCACATCCAGGTCAAAGGTCAGAGGAATCCACAGCTCCAAGCTGCTGCTGTGCTTTTATATGAGTTTAAACAGATTTAAAGCTGGAAGTCTGGATTAAAGTGAAGTTCAGATTGTGATGCAGGATGTGAACCTCTGAGCTCGTCTTCCTCCTCTCTGCTGCTCTGCTGTCCGTCTCGGTTCTCCATCCTCACTGCAGAGTAAACCGAAGCCCGGTCGCCGTCTGGTCAGTAAAACACACACATGATGTCACTGCAGCGGCTCCAGAAACACAAAGCAAGCAGCTCTGCCTGCTGCAGCCTCTGGCTCCTCTGGTTGATCTGAGGAGGCAGCAGGTTTCAGGCTGAGATGAAACCAGAGGAAACGAGAGCAGAGCTGCAGCAGCTGCTGCAGCCTGGCTGCAGCCGCAGAGGAGCAGCAGCTGCTGCAGGCTGGCAGAGTTTCTGAAGATTAAACAGGAAACCAGAGGCCTCACACACACACACACACACACACACACACACACACACACACACACACACACACACCGTCTCTAACTGAACCAAAATCATCATCAATAGTTTCCTCTGATCGTCCTCATTGATCAGTGATCATAACCATCATCAATAATTCATCACAGGATCAAACATTTCATTGATTTCTCTCTCTGTCTTCTTCACACTGTGGTGAAACTGTCACTACGTCAGTCTGGGTGTCAAAGCCACTCGTCTTCCTCCTGTTGAATGAATCAATAAAACCAAAACATGACAGACGATTCCTGACTCAACATGAGGAGAAAATCATCTCAGCTCTGAGATTTAAATCACTTCAGCATAAAACATAAAGACAGAGAGAAAATCATAAAGACCTAAACCATTGGAGGGAAAGATCTGACCTCTGACCTCTGACCTCCTCATGGCATCCAGTCCCATCTGTCTGAACCTAACAGATTAACCTCCTGGTGTTCACCATCATCTGGTGGAGTCCAACCAGAACCAGAACCTCTGACTGGTTCTGGAACCTCATCAGCAGAACCTCTGGTCCATCATCGAGCCTGGATGCTCCTCCATGCTGCCGTTGGTGAACCAGGAAGTTCTCCTGCTGCCCGCTCACGACCCAGAGCTCAGGTTCTGCTGCCTCCACAGAGGACCGAGGAGACCCGGTACCATCCAGAACCCGGTACCATCCAGAACTCGGTACCATCCAATACCCGGTACCATCCAGCACCCGGTACCATCCAGGACCCAGTACCATCCAGCACCCGGTACCATCCAGGACCCAGTACCATCCAGCAACCAGTACCATCCAGAACCCGGTACCATCCAGCACCCGGTACCATCCAGCACCCGGTACCATCCAGAACCCGGTACCATCCAGCACCCGGTACCATCCAGAACCCGGTACCATCCAGCACCCGGTACCATCCAGAACCCGGTACCATCCAGAACCCGGTACCATCCAGCACCCGGTACCATCCAGAACCCGGTACCATCCAGAACCCGGTACCATCCAGCAACCGGTACCATCCAGAACCCGGTACCATCCAGAACCCGGTACCATCCAGAACCCGGTACCATCCAGAACCCGGTACCATCCAGGACCCGGTACCATCCAGCACCCGGTACCATCCAGAACTCGGTACCATCCAGAACTCGGTACCATCCAGGACCCGGTACCATCCAGGACCCGGTACCATCCAGAACCCGGTACCATCCAGCACCCGGTACCATCCAGAACCCAGTACCATCCAGCACCCGGTACCATCCAGAACCCGGTACCATCCAGCACCCGGTACCATCCAGAACTCGGTACCATCCAGAACCCGGTACCATCCAGCACCCGGTACCATCCAGGACCCGGTACCATCCAGGACCCGGTACCATCCAGGACCCGGTACCATCCAGGACCCGGTACCATCCAGAACCCGGTACCATCCAGAACTCGGTACCATCCAGGACCCGGTACCATCCAGAACCCGGTACCATCCAGCACCCGGTACCATCCAGAACCCGGTACCATCCAGGACCTGGTACCATCCAGCACCCGGTACCATCCAGAACCCGGTACCATCCAGCACCCGGTACCATCCAGAACTCGGTACCATCCAATACCCGGTACCATCCAGCACCCGGTACCATCCAGAACCCGGTACCATCCAGCACCCGGTACCATCCAGCACCCGGTACCATCCAGCACCCGGTACCATCCAGGACCCAGTACCATCCAGAACCCGGTACCATCCAGGACCCAGTACCATCCAGGACCCGGTACCATCCAGGACCCAGTACCATCCAGGACCCGGTACCATCCATGACCCACTGAGGCCCAGCAGAACTCTGAGTCCGGTTCAGAGACATTAAACCGTTTCCAGAACATCAGATGAGAACCTCTGGTCCATCTTCAGAACCTCCAGGGTTCAGCATCGGGTCTCCAGGTCCGACTGCAGACGATCTGAACCCGGTCCATTCAGACTCCCGACCCGATCCAGAACCCAGTAAACCTTCCAGATGTGATTCTCCTGTACCAGCTGGAACCACCAGGAACCAGACTGTCTGAATGCAATGGATCCGGATCCATCAGAACTGAAGGGGACCAGAGGAATCATCTCTGACTGCAGAACCGACCCGGTTTGGATCGTCTGGACGGTGAGTAGGAACCATCAGAACCTTCTGACTCACCAGGAGAAACACCAACCCAAAACCCGCAGGGGGTCCAGTTGTTCTGCTCTGGACCGACACAGAGAGCTGATACCCCCAGGAGCCTGAAGTGGGTCGAGGGGAACCCGACCACACGCCTCAGAACCAAACCCTCCAGAACCTCCCAGTGAGGAGACATTTCCACACTAGAGGGTGGATCAGTAAGTTACACTGGGTTCAGGGTTCTGGTCCACTGAGCGGTCCGGTCCGGTCCGGTCCGGTCCGGTCCGATCAGGTCCGGTCCGGTCCGGTCCGGTCCGGTCCGGTCAGGTCCGGTCCGGTCCGGTCCGGTCCGGTCTGGTCCGGTCCAGTCAGGTCCGGTCCATATTTATGGTCAGGAGTATTCAGGACGGATTAAACCCAAACCATCCTGGTGCTGCACGGATACAACTGGATCATTTCTGTTTGTGGATCTGAATCTAAGCTGCAGCGTGACAGAATGTAGACTGGAAACACAACAAATACTGAAGCACAACGACCGGCAGACACCATGACGTCATGATGACGTCATCACGGCGTCACTGTGACATCATCACAGTGTCATCAGAGCTGGGTCCTGGTTGTTCTTGTGGAAAATCATAAACTGAAACAAACATTTCTAAAAAAATGAAAATACAAACATCCAAACTTTCTAAGATTTTCATCTGATTGATAAAAATAAAACACTAATAACTGTAAGACTGAACCTTTGCTGCATCTGATTGGCTGCAGTCGTGTTTGTGACGCATCATCACTGTGGGACAGATCTTCATCTTCATCTTCATCAGCTGAAAACAACAAGAAACCTGAAATCACAATCTGACAACATCTGAAATAAAAACTCATCAAGAAAATCTCTGATGTTTACCTTCATGTTTCCTCTTGACAAAACATTTCAGCAGCAGAACCAGGAAGACGAAGACGAAGATGAAGACGAGACCGAGACAGAGAGGAAGAGGAGGAGGAAGACTGGGAGAGGAAGAATCCACCGGAGACTGAGAACTGGGAGGAGAGATGGAGGAAGGAGGAGTGGAGGAGATTCTCCCTGAAATGAACCAGAGAATCATTTACTTCTTGTCTCCTGATGATGCAGACAGAGAAGCTGCTGACCTCTGACCTTTGACAGAGACCCTGCTGGATGGAGACTCTCCAGAACCGCTGATGCTACATTTATAGAGGCCTTCATCAGAGCTGGAAACATGGAGGAGGGTCATGCTGCCTGCTGATCCATCACCAATGAAGGAGCCATCTTTATAGAAAGCAGCTGGGAGGTTGTGGGTTGGATTCCTTGCTCTGCAGCTCAGAGTGACGTCATCTCCCTCCATCACAGGGAGGACAGGACTCTGCAGGATCACTGATCCTTTCAACACAGAGACAAACTACAGCATTTCATCCATTTCCACACAGCAACACTAACTCCACAGTCTGATCTTACCAGAGACAGAGAGCTGGATGCTGCAGCTGCTGCTGCTGCTGCTGCTGCTGCTGCTGATGCTGCTGCTGCTGCTGCTGCTGCTGCTGCTGCTGCTGCTGCTGCTGCTGCTGCTGCTGCTGCTGGAGGATCCAGACTCACACCAGTACAGACCAGTATCTAATGGGAGGATGTAGGTCAGGTTGCAGGTAGAACCATCAGCTTCTCCCCATCCATCTCCACACTGAGTCATGTTTCTTGTGCTGGTGTTTCTCCTCACTGTCCATCCAGCTGATCTGTTTTCATCCTCACAGATCAGAGTCACTGATTCTCCTTCAATGAACTGGGATCTGCTGGGACTCACAGTCAGACGAACTGGGAGGACTGGAAAATAACATGATTGTCTGTAAATACTCTGATATGTTTCAAAGCATCTTCTAATTACTTATAGATGTCAGAATAGAGTGTAAATATTGATTGGTCACATGATGATCAATCGATCCAAACTGATGGTCTCTGATAATCAGTTCCTGATGCTGCAGGAGGAAAAACTGACCTGAGTTTGTGGAGCAGCTCAGCAGGACAAAGAACTCTGAGGAGAAATGAATTCAGATGAACGAATCGACCCACTCAGGACGTTTCTGATCCTCATCTCATGATCTGTGAAGGTCTGACACACATTTCCTGTTCCTGTCTAAAGTCCTGCTGCGTTTGGACTCAGTTTTAACCATCAGAACCATCAGAACCACCAGAACCAGCAGAACCAGCAGAACCAAAGCAGAAGTGCAGACAGTTTCTCACCCAGCAGACGTCTAGCAGATGTTTCCTCCATGTCTCCTCAGAGCGTTGACCCGTTTGGGTCGGTGCTGGTGAGCCCGGCTCAGTCCGCCCTCTTCCTCTGAGCCTCCGGCTGCTGGCTGCTCACTTCCTGCTCTGCTGATGCTGAGCTGCTGCTTCAGCCTGAGACCTGCTGCAGCAGGTGAGGCAGCAGCACCTGCTGCAGAAACAGCTTCAGACAGAAAATCAGTTTATTTAGTGGAGATTAAACAGAATAAAAACCTCCAGGATGATCATGAATGATGCATTAATATTAGTGAAGACAGAAACTGATGTAACTTAATCTGTACAGAACATCAGCGCCATCTAGTGTTGAATTAATTACTGCTTAACTACATTATGGTTGGAAATACTGAAGTAAATGATGTCAGATTGATCCTCCTGCAGGCATGAATACACTGTGACCCAGAGACCCCCTGCTGTGACCCAGAGACCCCCTGCTGTGACCCAGAGACCCCCTGCTGTGACCCAGAGACCCCCTGCTGTGACCCAGAGACCCCCTGCTGTGACCCAGAGACTCCCTGCTGTGACCCAGAGACCCCCTGCTGTGACCCAGAGACCCCCTGCTGTGACCCAGACACTCCCTGCTGTGACCCAGAGTCTCCCTGCTGTGACCCAGAGTCTCCCTGCTGTGACCCAGAGACCCCCTGCTGTGACCCAGAGACCCCCTGCTGTGACCCAGAGACTCCCTGCTGTGACCCAGAGTCTCCCTGCTGTGACCCAGAGACCCCCTGCTGTGACCCAGAGACCCCCTGCTGTGACCCAGAGACTCCCTGCTGTGACCCAGAGACCCCCTGCTGTGACCCAGAGACTCCCTGCTGTGACCCAGAGACTCCCTGCTGTGACCAGGAGACCCCCTGCTGTGACCCAGAGACCCCCTGCTGTGACCCAGAGACCCCTGCTGTGACCCAGAGACCCCTGCTGTGACAGGAGACCCCCTGCTGTGACCCAGAGACCCCCTGCTGTGACAGGAGACTCCCTGCTGTGACCAGGAGACCCCCTGCTGTGACCCAGAGACCCCCTGCTGTGACCCAGAGACTCCCTGCTGTGACCCAGAGACTCCCTGCTGTGACAGGAGACCCCCTGCTGTGACCCAGAGACCCCCTGCTGTGACCCAGAGACTCCCTGCTGTGACCAGGAGACCCCCTGCTGTGACCCAGAGACTCCCTGCTGTGACCCAGAGACTCCCTGCTGTGACAGGAGACCCCCTGCTGTGACCCAGAGACCCCCTGCTGTGACCCAGAGACCCCCTGCTGTGACCCAGAGACCCCCTGCTGTGACCCAGAGACTCCCTGCTGTGACCCAGAGACCCACTGCTGTGACCCAGAGACTCCCTGCTGTGACCCAGAGACTCCCTGCTGTGACCCAGAGACCCACTGCTGTGACCCAGAGACTCCCTGCTGTGACCCAGAGACCCCCTGCTGTGACCCAGAGACCCCCTGCTGTGACCCAGAGACTCCCTGCTGTGACAAGAGACTCCCTGCTGTGACCAGGAGACTCCGTGCTGTGACAGGAGGGCGCAGTGGTTCAAGCTGCTGCAGCAATCTTCCTGCAGCAGCTGCAGCAGGAATGGACCTGTTGGAGGAGGGCGGATCCATTTATTTCGAAATGTTTGTTTCAGTTTATGATTTTCCACAAGAACAACCAGGACCAAACTCCAACACCTAAAATAGAGAACGGATCCTGCAGGAAGCTGTAATTGCTCTTAGTTCATGTATTTCATTTTGGATTTAATCATAAATTAAATACATAATAAAGTCATTTTTGATTTTGCCAATAACATAAAGAGTTAGTTTATTTTTCCGATAATTTGATCTCTTTTGCTGTGAATGAATAAAATAACTTCAAATAATAAACCCTGTGCAGGTTGGACCAGTCTCTCTCTCTCTCTGTTATTCTGCTTTAATCTGATGTTTTAACCTCTGACCTTATGCATCACCTCGAAAAAATACTCGAAAAAGATTCATGTAGAGAAATGAGCTTTTCAGGTTTTATTTTAGACTGAAATAATCCTGACATCTTGAAGCAGCAGTTTAATTTGAAATGAGGAAGAACAGGAATCTGAACCTGATCATGTCTGAACACGATCAGGTTCAGGGAACCGGATCTGCGTGTTCAGACATGATCCGGTTCAGACATGCAGATCACATAAACAATGTTTTCTTCTCTCTTCGCTCCTCATGGCGTCTTTACCGCAGCTCCTGCTCTTGGTTCTGGTTTCATACGTTCGTTACTCGTTTTCTGGTAAGTTCCAACTAACCAGCTAAACCATGTTAGAAACTCACTAACCAGCTAAACCATGTTAGTAACTCACTAACTAGCTTAATGTTGATGTTTTGGTGTAAAGTTTCAGGATCCTCCAGTTTGTTCCTGCTGCTGTTTCTTTTCTTTTGTTGCTTGATTTTGTTCAACGCTGGAAAAACTGCTGATCATTTTTATTCACCAACTGGAGCAGAACAAACATGACAGATCAATAAGTTCATGATAAATAACTAGATAAAAGAAGAAATAACAGGAAAATCATTATTATTTACATGTTTTAGTTTAACTCTGAGTTTTAATGCAGATGGATCCATCAGAACAAAGACAAGGCAGAACATTATCTGTAATTTTACTTTAATGGTGGCATTTTGGCCTAATCAAAGTATTTATTTCACACCCAACTGCACGCTCTTATTGTGAAGGGGAGAGGTGAGGCGACGCCAACGGTTTTATTTCATTCTGTTTTTGGTTTTGATTGGAAAACAGAGAGAATAAAACTAAAGTGATTATATTTCAGTAAAGAAACCAGAGACAGCAGAACTTCACTGAACCTGAAGACGATTTAAAGAATGAAACCAGAAATTCCCTCAAAACTAAAAACTAGAATCACTGAAACGTTACTGATTGTGTTCCAGGAGGCCAGTGAACAAACTGAACTTTGACCCCGTCTGGATCAGGTTTCTCTGCTGCTGGAGATGAAAATCATTTTTGTTTATTAACTGGATTTATTGGTTTCACATTTAACAGGCGACCAATGAGATCATGTGAACCTGAACTTTGAGTTAATTTGGTTTAATTTGTGTTGAATGAGTTTGATGCTCTCACTGCTTTCCAGTCCAGAACAGCTGAGCAGAACCAGACCATTAAAGGTTCTGTAACCAGATTATTGATCCGAGGTTCTGTTGGTGAATCCAGAGACCAGAGTCTGATCTGTAGTTTCTTTTTCTCTCCTTCAGATCAGATCAGCATCAGAGTAAAACCTGGACAGAACGTCGTTCTCCCATGTCGGGCTGCAGACAGCAGACCAATCATAGTAGTGGACTGGACCCGGGACGGTCTGGGTTCCTATCGGGTTCTTCTGTTCAGAAGTTCCCAGTTTGTCACAGATCAACAGGATTCATCTTTTAAGGGCCGAGTGGATCTGCAGGACAGACGGATGCAGGACGGAGACGTGTCTCTGGTTCTGAGAAACCCGACAGCTGCAGACAGAGGAACATATAAATGTCGAGTCGTTCATAAAGGAGCAGATATGAACTCAGAACCCGACTGCATCATCAACCTGGAGGTAGCTGGAGGTGAGTCAGTCAGTCTGTCTGTCTGTCTGTCTGTCTGTCTGTCTGTCTGTCTGTCTGTCTGTCTGTCTGTCTGTCTGTCTGTCTGTCTGTCTGTCTGTCTGTCTGTCTGTCTGTCTGTCTGTCTCTGCAGCTTCCTGCAGGAATCACAGTTTCTAAGATCTTCAGATCATCTTCATCCAAAACTGGAGATTAAATAATCTCTTAATCTGATGTTTTGTCTTTATTCTACTGAGAATAAGGAGTAAGAGAACCAGTCCGGGTTGCACTCCCAGGGTTAGATGTTGTCTAATGTCTCATGTCTCATTGTCTCAATGTCTAATTTATCAAGTCTCACTGTCTCATGTCTCATTGTCTCATGTCTCATTGTCTCATGTCTCACTGCCTCATGTCTCACTGCCTCATGTCTCACTGTCTTATGTCTCTGTTCTGTGTTGGTCATCAGCCTGAGGTCAGAGGTCACAGAGTTCACTCTGAGATGCAGTTCAGGTCATTTCTCCACATCATGAGCCAAAGAGGAAACACTAAATGGCTGCTGGTTCATCCAGGCAGATCCTTCTGGATCGGAACCAGCTGACCTCTGACCCCTTGGTCCGGTTCTGTTGCTCAGTGGAAACAGAGCAGAAAACTGGGAGCTCTGGGTTTGAGCCCAGTTTAACTCACAGATACAAACAGCATCACATCGTCTGGAACCAGGAGGGACATCAGACAGGAAGTGAGTCACGTTCAGGGTCAGAGGTCAGAGTTCACCAAGTCCTGATTGGTTTTCATGTTTCCAGTCCTCATCACCTCAATGAGAGACTGATTGTGGTCCATCAGATGAAGCATGAGGACAGAACCCGTCCACTGCTGATGACCCGACTGGTCCAGACCAGTTAGTCGTGTTCAGCAGGTCCATTTCAGGTCTTGGTTAAAGATGGAGGACGGAGGTCAGGGAACCTGAGCAGCTCCAGAAACTTCTCAGCCTGATAGAAACAGAGTCAGAGATCATGTGGTTGAACAAGCAGGAACTGAGCTGAGTCAGCATTTAGTCAGCTGCTGCTGCTTCCTGTGTCGGTTCTTCAGTCTCTACCTGACAGAGGTCAGAGGTCAGAGGTCTCACTGCTGGTTCTCCTCCACAGAGTCCAGGATGATTACAGGCAGAGGAAGCAAAGCTGGACCTTCTGGACCTTCTGGACCTTCTGGACCTTCTGGACCGCTGATCGGACTCACCATTCTTCTTCTTCTCCTCTTTAGAGACTGATTCGGGTTCAGGTGGTTCTGAAATCATTTAGAGGAGGAAAAACATATCATCACTGAATTTCAATTATCAATTTTAAAAGCCCTTTGATTGGATTAGATTGCTTGGTCACTGGGTTCACGCCACACATGGATGTGTCAGAGGTCAGAGGTCACATTCCCACACTTCCTGCAGGAGGGACAAAGAGGAGCAGGTTTGAGTCAGCTGGATCACAGGGGTCAAACTCCAGTCCTCAAGGTCATGAGAGGTTGAGGCAGAAGCAGCAGATCCAGCGAATAAACGGAGATTTAAAGATGAAAATATGAATCCATAATCCAGGCAGATTAAACAGATTAAACACTGAGAGCAACTAATAAACATCCAGCAACAGGAAACAGAACGACAGAGACGACCAGGCCCTGACAGAGACACAGAGACACAGAGGGACACAGGGAAGCAGGTTACATTAAATACACAGGAAGTAATCAGGGAACGGGACACATCAGGGAACGAGACACATCAGGGAACGGGACACATCAGGGAACAGTTGAGGGGAAGACAGGACAACATGGAGACTCAGAGACACAGAAACCTGAAATAAACCTGCAGAAAAAGTCAAATCCCTGCAGGTTTTAGATGAGCCACAGGTACAAGATGCTCCAGTGTGGATCGGATCTCCAGAACCTTGATGACCTCATTATTCTGTCCAGGTGATGCAGCAGAGGGTCATCTAAAGGTCACAGGACACTGACCCTCCAGGACTGGACTTTGACCCAGTCAGTCCTTCAACAGGAAGTGGTTTTCTTCCTCAGATCACAGCTACTTAGTGTGCATTACCACCACCTAGTGGTGAGGAGTGTGAACTGCAGCTTTGTTAAAATGCTTGAGATGCAGATTAATTACTGACTTTTACATCCAAATTAATTTTAATTCATTTCTTCATATTGAGCACATAGAGCTACTGTTTTATTTTCAGACATTTTAATGTGAATAAAGGAATTAAAGCTAATTCAGGCACTAAAATCATTATTTCTGCAGTCATGGGATCATCTGCTGGGATCTTGTTTGAGTTTTGTTATTTTTGACATTTTTCGTGTTTATTAGTTGTTTCTATTTACCTCTATTTAGTTTCCTACATTAAAATGTTTTGCATGTTTAGAGTAATGTAGCTTGCAAATCTTTTTTCATTAAATAAATGTCAATAAAATGCTTATGTAATGATGCTTTTCTGTAGTTTATTGTCCAGTTTTCAGGCCTGCTGATGTTAATGGTGTCAAAGTTTTTATTTGTGATTCTCAAGTTAAAGAAATTAAATTTTTGTTCATTTCTGAATGAATTGTTTTGATAAAACGTTTGTCGAGTTTCTTTATGTTGTTTGTATCAAATCAAACCAAAGTTGATGCAGCAGGACAGACTGTGTTCAGACACTGGAGACACTGGAGACACTGGAGACACAGAGACACTGGGACACTGGAAACACTGGGACACAGAGACACTGGAGACACAGAGACACTGGAGACACTGGGACACTGAGACACTGGGACACAGAGACACTGGGGACACTGGGACACAGAGACACTGGGACACAGAGACACTGGAGACACTGGAGACACTGGAGACACTGGGACACAGGGACACTGGGACAGAGACACTGGAGACACTGGAGACACTGGAAACACTGGAGACACTGGGACACTGGGACACAGAGACACTGGGACACTGGAAACACTGGGACACAGAGACACTGGGAAACAGGGACACTGGAGACACAGAGACACTGGGACACAGAGACACTGGAAACACTGGGACACAGAGACACTGGGGACACTGGGACACAGAGACACTGGAGACACTGGGGACACTGGAGACACTGGAGACACAGAGACACTGGGACACAGAGACACTGGGACACTGGGACACTGGAGACACTGGAGACACTGGAGACACTGGAAACACTGGAGACACTGGGACACTGGGACACAGAGACACTGGGACACTGGAAACACTGGGACACAGAGACACTGGGAAACAGGGACACTGGAGACACTGAGACACTGGGACACAGAGACACTGGGGACACTGGGACACAGAGACACTGGAGACACTGGAGACACAGAGACACTGGGACACTGGAAACACTGGGACACAGAGACACTGGAGACACTGGAGACACAGAGACACTGGAGACACTGGAGACACAGAGACACTGGAGACACAGAGACACTGGAGACACTGGAGACACAGAGACACTGGGACACTGGAAACACTGGGACACAGAGACACTGGAGACACAGAGACACAGAGACACTGGAGACACTGGGACACAGAGACACTGGGACACAGAGACACAGGGACACAGGGACACAGAGACACTGGGACACAGAGACACTGGAGACACTGGGACACAGAGACACTGGAGACACTGGGACACAGAGACACTGGGACACTGGGACACAGAGACACTGGGACAGAGACACTGGAGACACTGGAGACACAGAGACACTGGAGACACTGGGACACAGAGACACTGGGACACAGAGACACTGGAGACACAGAGACACTGGGACACTGGAAACACTGGGACACAGAGACACTGGAGACACTGGAGACACTGGGACACTGGAGACACTGGGACACAGAGACACTGGGACACAGAGACACTGGAGACACTGGGACACAGAGACACTGGAGACACTGGGACACAGAGACACTGGGACACAGAGACACTGGAGACACAGGGACACTGGGACACAGACACTGGGACACAGAGACACTGGAGACACTGGGACACAGAGACACTGGAGACACTGGGACACAGAGACACTGGAGACACTGGACACAGAGACACTGGAGACACTGGGACACTGGGACACAGAGACACTGGGACACAGAGACACTGGAGACACTGGAGACACAGAGACACTGGGACACTGGAAACACTGGGACACAGAGACACTGGGGACACTGGGACACAGAGACACTGGAGACACTGGGACACAGAGACACTGGGACACAGAGACACTGGGACACAGAGACACTGGAGACACTGGAGACACAGAGACACTGGAGACACTGGAGACACAGAGACACTGGAGACACAGAGACACTGGAGACACAGAGACACTGGAGACACTGGGACACAGAGACACTGGAGACACAGAGACACTGGAGACACTGGGACACAGAGACACTGGGACACAGAGACACTGGGACACAGAGACACTGGAGACACTGGAGACACAGAGACACTGGAGACACTGGGACACAGAGACACTGGGACACAGAGACACAGGGACACTGGACACAGAGACACTGGGACACAGAGACACTGGAGACACTGGGACACAGAGACACTGGAGACACTGGGACACAGAGACACTGGGGACACTGGGACACAGAGACACTGGGACACAGAGACACTGGAGACACTGGAGACACAGAGACACTGGAGACACTGGGACACAGAGACACTGGAGACACAGAGACACTGGAGACACTGGGACACTGAGACACTGGGACACAGAGACACTGGGACACAGAGACACTGGAGACACTGGGACACAGAGACAGTGGGACACAGAGACACTGGGACACAGAGACACTGGAGACACAGGGACACAGATACACTGGAGACACTGGGACACAGAGACACTGGAGACACTGGGACACAGAGACACTGGGACACTGGAGACACTGGAGACACTGGGACACAGAGACACTGGGACACAGAGACACTGGAGACACAGAGACACTGGGACACTGGAGACACTGGAGACACTGGAGACACTGGGACACTGGAGACACTGGACACAGAGACACTGGAGACACAGAGACACTGGAGACACTGGGACACAGAGACATATTTATATTTAATGTTTCTGCTGTTTCCCTCTTTATTGTACGGTGGCCCTGAGGTGCAAAACACTACAACATTAAGGAAAGCACTACAACATTAACAAAAACACAACAACATTAAAAAAACACGACAACATTAACGAAAACACAACAACATTAAGAAAAACACAACAACATTAACAAAAACACGACAACATTAACAAAAACACAACATCAACGAAAACAAACAACATTAATGAAAACACAACAACATTAACGAAAACACGACAACATTAACAAAAACACTACAACATTAACGAAAACACGACAACATTAATGAAAACACAACAACATTAACGAAAACACAACAATTAACGAAAACACGACAACATTAACAAAAACACAACAACATTAACGAAAACACGACAACATTAACAAAAACACAACAACATTAACGAAAACACAACAACATTAACAAAAACACTACAACATTAAGGAAAACACAACGGAAGAGGTAGGTCCCAGTGGGAGACCTAAGAAGTCGCTGATTGGACGACAGGTCGTTTTACTTTTGAACCGGAAGTTCTTCTGGCTTTAACTTGATTGCTGAAAACAAGAATGTTCTCAGTGATCCAAACCTTAGTACTGTTATTCGTAAATATTTTGAGTCAGGACATACTGATACTGGTGATACTGGACATGCTCCAGACCAACCACGAAGTGTCGGTTAGCATGCGTTCAGTAAAGACTCATTTGAAAGTAGCAGGGCTGCATTGAAGAGGCAACTACTCTCCACTTCCTGAAGTGAGACGTGTCATTATGTCCGAGCTTAGAGGACCAGGGCAATTATTTGGCTATCGGACCATGTGGCAAGTTCTCAAACTAAAACACAAACCTGCGTGTCAAACGTGATGTTGTAATGAGACTGCTGAGGCAGCTGAATCCTCAAGGCATCGCTCTGAGAACTCGCAGGTTTACAAGACGCACGTATCCCTCCACGGGGCCCAATTACATAGCATGTAGATGGCTACGACAAAACTGAAGCCATTCGGCTTGGCCATCTCAGGGTGCATTGATGGTTTTTCGAGAAGGATAATGTGATATAAGACAGCTGTGGAAAGATAGTTTAAATCCCAAGGCCACTTACCTTTGAGAAATGAAGAGAACATTTTCCTGGTAAATTAATTGGTTCCCATGTTTTGACACATTATTTCAGGTGGCTAAAAATATGGTTCCCTCATATCTCTGGCAAATAAAGAGGAAATGTTTTCAAATAATTTGTTGTTGATGAAGAGATGAATAAGCACAGTTGAAGACTTGTTGGTAAATAGTCCCCATGTTTTGAAGGGGGAACAGATTATTTTAGTCACCTAAAATATATGGTTCCCTCATCATAACTCTGGCAAACAAGGAGCAAATTCTACCAAAATCACAGGATTTATTGTTGATGATGAGAGGAATAAACAGAGAAAAAAATCTTGCTGGTAAATTAAGTTGTTCCCATATTATGGAGGGGGACCAGATTATAATTTCCTCCATTCTTTCCTACCCT